GAAAACCGTAGAAGAATTGATGCTTTTTAGTTATGGTGTTAGAGGAGAATATTGAAAGTGCCATGGTCTGCCAAAAGAACCATTAGTATACTGCTTGGCAACAGTAGTGAACTTGGCCCAGGATCAGGCAGTGTTTCGTTCTGCTGTGCATAAGGTCCCTATGGGTTGGTACCAAATCGATGGCACCTACAACAACAACAACAACAAGTATGCATGTAAAAACTGGGCAGTGAATCAGGAAGACCTTAGAAAAGATGATGCATTTAAGTTATAGTGTTGGAGAAGAATATTAAAAGTACTGTAAACTGCCAAAGAACAAACAAATCTGTGTTGGGGGAAAATATAGCCAGATGTTTCTTAGAAGCCAGGATGGCGAGACTTTGTCTTTCGTTCTTTGGATGTTATCAGGAGGGACTCGCCCCTGGAGAAGGACATCACGCTTGGAAAAGTGGAGCTTTAGCACAAAAGAGGAAGACCTCCAATGAGATGGATTGGCTTAGTGGCAGCAGCAATGGGCTTAAGCTAACAATTTTGAAGACGGCACAGAACTGGGCAGTGTTTCATTCAATTGTGCATAGGCTCGCTGAGTCCTGAGTCGGAAGCAACAACATGGCGCTTAACAATAACAAATGGTGAAGCCCTGGCGGCACGGTGGCTTAAGCATAGGGCTACTAAGCAAGGTCAGCGGTTCAAACCCACTAGTCGCTTTGCGGGAGACAGATGAGGCTGTAAAGATTTACAGCTTCAAAAACTGTCAGGAGCAATTCTACTTTATTCTATAGGATGGCTACAGATTCCTGGTGTGGTGCTATTGGTTTTTGTTAAGTGCAGTCGAATTGGTTCCCACCCATAGCAACCCGGACACGGTTTCCAAGGAGCGGCTGGTGAGCTTGAACCACCGACCTTGAGGTTCAAACCGAATCTGCAGTCCAAATGTGGCGCTGCAGCTTAATGCGCTGGACTGCAAAGTCGGGTTGAACCGCAAGGTCGGTGGTTCAAGCTCACCAGCTGTTCCTCGGAAACCCTATGCAGGATCGCTACGGGTCGTAACTGACTCGATAGCATTTAACAATAGCGTAGGGTCGCTATGAGTCGCCATGGCAGTGTTTGGCGATTAAATGGGAATAGAAAGTAGAGGGCACTGCAAACGCAAGCTCACAAAAGGATAGGCGACTCCTGATGAGAGACTCAAAGCGCATGCTCCTTTTACCACCAAGGTTCCCAGAATTCTGACAGGCTTTTAGTGGGCCTGGATGAGAGTGCGCAAGCGCCAGGGTTCCGGTGCCTGCAGAATGAGAAGGCACCGCCCAGTAGAAACGCCCTTTAGGATTTGAACCCGCCCCCACCTTTCCGTTTCCGTTGGCTGCACTGCGGCGGTCGAAGTCGAAAATGGCGGCGGCTGGGTCTAGGGTTTCTGGGTTGCTGATTCGGTCCCGGCCCCAGCTGGGGCGGCTGATGGCAAGCAGCGCTCACGGCGAAGAGGGCTCAGGTACTGGACGTAGGAGCGGCGGGGTGGGCCTATGCGTCCCTGGGGCGCGGCGGGGCGGGACTGTGACCTTGGGGAGGGACGGCCTGGCAGGCCCCACGTCCAGTCTGAGCGGGCTCTTCTCCCCGCAGCTCGCATGTGGAAGGCCCTCACCTTCTTCGTCGCCCTCCCCGGGGTGGGAGTGAGCATGCTGAACGCCTACCTGAAGTCGCACCACGGAGAGCCCGAGAGATCCGAGTTCGTCGCCTACCCGCATCTCCGCATCAGGTCCAAGGTACGCCCTTGGCGACTCTTGTGAATGCCCGTTCATTTTGCATTCCAAATGCCCTCGTCCAAATTCATTATTTCCAAAACCTTGGGTCCCAGGCACATGTCATTTCGTTTCTCATTTACTCTGCACAAACAGGCTTTTGGGGTGACGATTTTGTGAAAATACACATATGCTGAACATATGCCCATTCAACAATTTCTGCATGTAAAATTCAATAACTGGTTGTACTTTCTTAATGTTGTGTCACCATCCCGTTATGTCTACCCAGGTGTTTCCCCACCATTAAGTTAGAGTCCAGAACTTTTCCACCTACTCAGTTTAGACTCATAAACGACAGAGAAGGACTGCTCTGTAAGGTTTTCCAGACGAAATTTTATGGAAGCAGAACTGCCCATCATGCAGTTAGCAACTCAGTACTTAATCCACCATGCCACCAAGGCTCCTTGGGCTCAGTAGTCCTTAAAATACTCATCTATGCTTTAGAGGTAACTGTGGACAATTTGGTCTGTCCTAGATATTTCTTAAAAGAGCACAATGCTGAATGCAAACCTTATTTACTAATTTAGCTAAACTTCTTTAAAGATGACTTCAGAGAATATTTTTGCTTCCTGGTTTGAAGTTTTTTTTCAAAGCAATGGATTTGGGGTCCAGTAATTATGGATTTTTGAAACTTTTGAAATTCTGTTACACATGTTTCCCTCTTTTGATCAGGATTCATTTTTTGATTATTTCATCAAGATGTTGGGAAATGGTGGCCAGGCACCGTGGAGTTTTTCTGTTCTTATGGAAGCAATTAGACCTACTTCCAGTCTTACTTCTTTATTCCTGGGTTTCCTACTTCCTCTGGCACTTGCAAATATTTAAGACCCCAAGTACTACTTAGTAATATAGGGAGTTGAATGTTGGTGTTGTTAAGTGCCTTTGAGTAGGTTCTGACTCATAGCCACCCTGTATAGGGTTTCCAAGGAGCAGCTGTGGGTTTGAACTGATGTTCCTATAGCACCAAAAGGGAGTGGCATAACAGCTCTGAAAACAGTATTAAGGCCAAATGAGACATGACCCTGTACCTTTGAATCAACAGAATTAGTTCCATGACTGGGACTTGGGAGTCATTTGTCAATTCTCTTCTTCAGGATCTTAGTAAGTAGTCTCCCCATTCAGCTTTCCTTT